TCTATCAACTTGCCCACGAAGGTGCCTGCAGGACCTTTAGTAGAAAGACAGCAGATGCTATATTGCAAATTAGCTTTACTCTACTGACCTACAGACAGCACCAACTCTGCTAGGGTCCACATACGGGTACCACTTGGGGTCACAGGCATAGGAGTCACCACAAGCCGATGCAGAAACAGGGGGTTAGAACCTACATCTAAAATCACCCTGTGTTTGAAGGTCTTTTAAATTTAAAACTAAAAACAGCCCTGCATCCCTCCTCCCGACCAAATCATGTTCACGAACTGCAACCTGCAAAGACTTCCTCCAGCTGCCTGGCTGCACACTTTCCTGTTTTCCCATTATTCAGCTCCCCAGTTGCAGGAGCTGGCTTAGCCGCAATTGCTTTCCAGATTGCTAACAATTTGCTTTACCCTCATTTTCTGAAGCTTCTGCTTTTTAAAATCGATGTATTCCCAGCCTGGTGTCAAGCCTAAACGCAATTCTTCTGAAACCTGAAGTCTTGCCACAGAAGAATTCTTAGTAAGAGTTAAAAGTTAAGAAGCCCACTGAGAGATGCCACCCAAATACAAGACAACCCTTCACACGTAATTAGCATCAAATGAAAATTCAATCGCACTTTATATGGGATGCGTTTTGCTTAGAAACACTGATCGCACTACAAGTGTCTACTTACTATATAAAGAGAGACGCTGTAAAAACCATGCTAGTAAGTCATAGATCTGTGATTTCTTTGCAGTGGTGTTTAATATTTACACTGGTTTGTTTTACAAAGCTGTTGAAATAGAAAAGATATAGCAAGAAACCCCTATCTACTGTCTACCATCAGTAATCCTCACTGGTTTGTTTACCATTTATAAGGAAAACATCATTCAACGCAGCTTGTCACAGAGACTCATCTACAATAACTGGTCTTCGTGCCAGCCCAAGATGCTCGAGCCTTTGTCGTCACATTTACAGTCAACCACGGACAGATAAAGCAGTAAGTAGCCAACAAGAACATCTGCTGAGACTTTTTGAAGTGGCCCTGAGAATGACATTTTTTCACAAGGGTCTTTAACAAATGCCTTTAAGCTTCCCAGGTGGACAGGTTATTGATTCTTACCCAGACGTTTTGGAACCCCCAACTTTAAACTTTAGGTACATACCAAGACTTTTAAAAAAAAAAAAAAAAAAAAAAAAAAAAAATCAATATTTACCTGCATCAATAACAATACTATGCCTTCCTCTAACACCTGTCTGCCAAAGAGCAGAAACTTCCTAACACCAGTGACAGGACGGTAATTGTGCCCATTTTACAGACGAGTAAACCGAGGCACAGATGGTTCAAGTTACTTGCCACAGGTCACTCAGGAAGTCTTTTGAAATACCAGGCTTGGAATTGAGATCACTTGGCACAGCCAGGGCCTTCAGCCATATGCCATGCTGCTTCTTTAGGTGAAGAAAACTGTCAGCTGTCACTCTTTC